TTGAATTTTTTTGACGAAAATATGTTAAAATAAGTATTAATAACATGTGTAAATATAAATTTAGTGAAGATGTACCAATGAAAAGTGACAATTGTCATAATCGCTATTTTTAAAGTTTTTTGAATTTTTTTGACGAAAATATGTTAAAATAAGTATTAATAATAACATGTGTAAATATAAATTTAGTGAAGATGTACCATAGAAAAGTGACAATTGTCATAATCGTTATTTTTAAAGTTTTTTGAATTTTTTTGACGAAAATATGTTAAAATAAGTATTAATAACATGTGTAAATATAAATTTAGTGAAGATGTACCAATGAAAAGTGACAATTGTCATAATCGCTATTTTTAAAGTTTTTTGAATTTTTTTGACGAAAATATGTTAAAATAAGTATTAATAACATGTGTAAATATAAATTTAGTGAAGAATTACCAATGAAAAGTGACATTTGTCATAATTGTTATTTTTAAAGTTTTTTGAATTTTTTTGAAGAAAATATGTTAAAATAAATATTAAAAACATGTTTAAATTAAAATTTAGTGAAGATGTGCCATAGAAAAGTGACAATTGTCATAATCGTTATTTTTAATTTTTTGAATTTTTTTGACGAAAATATGTTAAAATAAGTATTAATAACATGTGTAAATATAAATTTAGTGAAGATGTACCAATGAAAAGTGACAATTGTCATAATCGTTATTTTTAAAGTTTTTTGAATTTTATTGACAAAGATATTTTAAAATAAGTATTGATAACATGTTTAAATAAAAATTTAGTGAAGATGTACTCTAGATAAGCGACAATTGTCATAATCGTTATTTTTAAAGTTTTTTGATTTTTTTTGACGAAAATAGTTAACTTGCATCGATATTGATTTTAAAATAGAAAAAAAAGTTTACCCAAATTTTAAACAAGATTGTCTGGTGAAAATTGGTAAAAAAATAATAATTTCTAACTTAGGATTAGATATTATGATATATATTTTGCATATTAATTTCTGACCCGATGAACAAATGTAATAAAATGCCAATTTGCTCCTGTTTTTGGGGAAGAATCTATTATTACCATATGTTTTTCTATGGCATATACTCAGGCAATTTTAATTTTACAATCTATATTTTTACCCATTTACATCAAAGAAATTTTAAAAATAACGATTATGACAATTGTCACTTTCTATAGTACATCTTCACTAAATTTTTATTTAAACATGTTATTATTACTCATTTTAACATATTTTCGTCAACAAAAATCAAAAAACTTGAAAAATAATGATTATGACAATTGTCGCTTATCTAGAGTACATCTTCATTAAATTTTTATTTAAACATGTTATATATACATATTTTAAAATATTTTCGTCAAAAAAATTCAAAAAACTTTAAGAATAACGATTATGACAATTGTCACTTTTCATTGGTACATCTTCACTAAATTTATATTTACACATGTTATTAATACTTATTTTAACATATTTTCGTCAAAAAAATCTAAAAAATAACGAATATGACAATTGTCACTTTTCATTGTCTTCACTAAATTTATATTTACACATGTTATTAATACTTATTTTAACATATTTGCGTCAAAAAAATTCAAAAAACTTTAAAAATAACCATTATGACAATGTCAATTTTCTATGGTACATCTTCACTAAATTTTATTTAAACATGTTATCAATACTTATTTTAACCTATTTTCTTCAAAAAAATTCAAAAAACGTATAAAATAACGATTATGACAATTGTCACTTTTCTATGGCACATCTTCACTAAATTTTTATTTAAACATGTTTTTAATACTTATTTTAACATATTTTCTTCAAAAAAATTCAAAAAACTTTAAAAATAACGATTATGACAATTGTCAATTTTCTATGGTACATCTTCATTAAATTTTTATTTAAACATGTTATTAATACTTATTTTAACATATTGTCGTCAAAAAAATTCAAAAAACTTTAAAAATAACGATTATGACAAATGTCACTTTTCATTGGTACATCTTCACTAAATTTATATTTGCACATGTTATTAATACTTATTTTAACCTATTTTGTTCAAAAAAATTCAAAAAACGTATAAAATAACGATTATGACAATTGTCACTTTTCTTTGGTACATCTTCACTAAATTTATATTTACACATGTTATTAATACTTATTTTAACCTATTTTCTTCAAAAAAATTCAAAAAACTTATAAAACAACGATTATGACAATTGTCACATTAAAATATTATCCTTAAAAAGATCATATAAAATCATCAAAAAAGTTTCATAAAATCCACCTCATTTAATAAAAAAGATAATTTAAAAAAAATGATAAAAAAATTATAAAAGATTTCACCTAAAAGATTGTTTATTTATCTAATAAAATTTACAATATAATTCCTCAATTTTATAAAGAAGATTGTGAAAATCACTAATAAATTATATTAAAAAGAATATTACAATTTTACATTATAGCAGCATATTATTTTTTTTATTAAAATAACATCAAATAAATAAATTTTTTCATTTGAAAATATAATAATATAAATAAAAAATATTAAATCATATCATGTTTATTTGTTGATAATAATAAAATATTTACATTAAATATAAATAAAATAAATTATTTTACTAAAATAAATAAATAATAATTAATACTAAGCATCAATGCAGAATTTTGACTAATTTTTAGCAGATTTATATAGGCTTAGCCGATTTTTAGGCTTAACCTAATTAGGCTTAGCCGATTTTTAGTTTTAGCCGATTTTTAGGCTTAGCCTTATTAGGCTTAGGCATAGTTTTTAGCCGATTACGCAACACTATAATAACCGATTGAAATTTAGGGAGGGCCTCCTTTGATCGTAAAATTTTGCTCGTAAAATGGTCCATTTGGTCCATTTTCGGTCAAAATGGATGATTTTTAGTATTTATTATATTAAATAATTCCAAGCAATTTTTTATCAAATCCAAGCAAGAAATTTTTATTATCATCTATCAGATTATATACAATCTTATACATTTTTTTTTATTTAATATATTAGATAATTCCAAGCAATTTTTTATCAAATCTAAGCAAGAAATTCTTATTATCATCTATCAGATTATATGCAATTCTTATATCAGATGCAAGAAATTTTTATTATCATCTATCAGATTATATGCCATTCTTATATTAGATGCAAGAAATTTTTCTTATCATCTATCAGATTATATGCAATTCTTATATCAGATGCAATCAATTTTAATATATCAATTGTTTTAATTATATTATGATATTTTATATTGTGAGTATTTTATGTAGCAATGTAATATATATTTTAATATATCAGACATTGTTTTAATTATATTTTATATTGTGAGTATTTATGTAATATATATTTTAATATATCAGACATTGTTTTAATTATATTATGATATTTTATATTGTGAGTATTTTATGTAGCAATATAATATATATTTTAAATCTATACCTATTAATAAAATTTAATTAGCAAATTTCATAAACAATTTCTTAATATAACTGAACTTTATTAATATGATTACTTAGGATTAGTTTTATTGATTAAGAATATTTCTTATGCATTTTCTCAATATAACTTATGATTACTTAAGATTAATTTTATTGATTAAGAATATTTCTTATGCATTTTCTCAATATAACTTATGATTACTTAAGATTAATTTTAATGATTAAGAATATTTCTTATGCATTTTCTCAATATAACTTATGATTACTTAAGATTAATTTTAATGATTAAGAATATTTCTTATGCATTTTCTCAATATAACTTATGATTACTTAAAATTAATTTTAATGATTAAGAATATTTCTTATGCATTTTCTCAATATAACTTATGATTACTTAAGATTAATTTTAATGATTAAGAATATTTCTTATGCATTTTCTCAATATAACTTATGATTACTTAAAATTAATTTTAATGATTAAGAATATTTCTTATGCATTTTCTTAATATAACCTATGCTATATAAAATGATTCACTAATTTCTTAATATAACTTATAAATAAAATTAATTGATAATTGAGTCATAGGATTTTATTTATCAATTTGTCTATAATTTTTAAATAATATTGATTAATAAGATTATTTATATTCTTTTCTTTTGTTATATATTTATTATTGGTTTTCTTTAAGCTCATCCCCATGTCTAAAAGCATATATATTTGGATCTACTGGGTATGTTGGAATTCTGATCTGCACAAGATATGCATTGAGAATCTTTACCTAAATTAATGTATGTAATCTAGATAGGTTTAGTATTAAATATACCTTCAGCTGTTAGATAATCTTGTGTCACTTCAAATAACTACCTGCTAACTTACCTCTGCTTTACAATCTCTTCTTCTGCAGCGGTAATATATTGTAGGCTCAGCTATTCTATGTATGGTATATTGAAAAAGGTTATAGCAGAGTATATCCTTACCTAATATAATATATCATACTTTGCAATGATCATTTCTTCTTTTAAAAAATAGTCTTATATTATCAGCTACAGTATTAAGCATAATGTTTTTAAATGATTTTAATTTAACGCGATGAAATAGACCAATCAGAAAAAAATGGACCAAATTTACGATCAAATGACTTTACGATCATAGTTAGGCAAATCGAAATTTATTGGCGGCCATGTTTTAATTTTATATTTATATTTTAAAATCTCTCGCTTCAACCTTTAGGGGCCATATTGGTCGCCATTTTAGCTTATTTGTCTTTTTGATACTTTTTAATATTCGAGACAGCGAACGCCTTTATTTAACAGCAATAAATGGTGTCATATAAAGTTATTTTATTTTTTTATTCAACACGCTTGTTTTTTTTTCTTTAACAAATAAATATTAAAAAAAAGTTGTTTATTATTTTTTTTAATAAATTTTTTTTTACGTATTTTTTTTAATAAATTTTTTTACGTATTTTTTTATCTAATGGAAGAAATGGTAATTTTAAAATTGATGCTTATATTATATTTTTATTTAATAGGAATTAAGATATAATTTAGAACTAAATGATTTTACTTTGAAACAGTTTATGAGTAATTATGAGAAGAATAATCATCAGCTCATTATTCTTCTCAAAAAGGATTAATTTCAGATAAAAATCATTAGTTTTACAAGAATGTGATAAGAATATAATGAAAAATATTAAAATGCCCATAAAATACAAACGAGGATCAATACACAAAAGGCCTAAAAAATGATATGTTAGGCACTCAAGTTAAGATACCAGAGAGTAAACTTACTTTTCTATATTTAATATAACAAAAAAATAGCAACAAACTTATATTCCCAATATCATTTTCAAAATATACCAAAAAATTTAGGCCCTCAGTCAAAAACTATTCCAGCTAGTATATTTTGTGTTTTAATTTTTATTAAATATAAAATAAAAATAGCATTCAAATTCTCTTCATCTCAAAATATTTCAAAATATATCTTAGGCACTCAAATTAAACTACCAAATAGTAAACATTTTTCCTTTATTTTATATAACAAAAATTATAGCAACCAAAACTTTAGACTACACTGGATATTCTCTTCAAAATCTTTCAAATTTTTTTTAGGAAACCATAAATAAAACAAATAGTTATTATATATTTAGAATGTTTATATTATATTTAAAAATATATAGGAACCAAATACAATCTAATAGAGCTTCCAGAAAACAATACAATCAAGATTTCAAAAATCTATTAAAAAGTAATTTATATAGTATTCTATTATATCAAATTTTATTTCTGTAATAATTATAATATATTATTGTATTTTATAATACATAATTTTAATTATAGAACTATAATATATTATTGTATTCTTACAAATTTTATTTCTATATATATATTTTCAATATATTTCTAAAAAATAGAATATAGAATAAAAAATATAAAATAGATTCTTGTGTTATAAATAACAAACATTCAATATTTTTGACAAAAAAAAACAATAAAAATAATTCTTTATATTAAATTATATTGTTTAAGATATATTCATAGGAGGATTGATAGAATAGTTTTTTGCAATACCTGATCACCATTAAAAATATTATAAGAATTACACAATATAATAAATATTAAAATAAAGTAAATTTTTAGGTTTGAATGATTTAAACAAAGTATAAAACAGATTGTGAAAATCCTATAAATAGAAATATTAGGAGTAACATAATTAGCAAAGTTATAAAATTAAGAATTATTTGAAACAATTTATTTAAGAGATCAAAATTTGAAGCCTTTCCTAAATTTTCAATGGCATAAGAATAAGCTGTAGACATTGATGTTCATGTTTTTCACAAATATTTTACTTTTATATATAAAATATCAAACTGAAAATATTATTTAGTAAATTTTGATATTACATACCTTACATGATTAAAATAAAAAATTGTATATATAAATCTTAGAACATTATTGTTTGGGAATATTGTTAAATTCCTCAACATCTATAAAAAATTTTAACAATTGGAATACAAATGTTTTAAATATAATAATTTGAAAAGGTATTCTTCTCATAATTACTCACAAACTGTTTTAAAGTAGAAAAAAATATAATAATTTGATAAGGTATTCTTCTCATAATTACTCACAAACTGTTTTAAAGTAGAAAAATCTTATTATTTCATAATTCCTATTAAATAAAAATATATTAAATAAGCATCAATTTTAAAATTACCATTTTTTCCATTAGATAAAAATAATACGTAAAAAAATTTATTAAAAAAAATGGGAATGACTAAAATACGCGTCCCCGAAAACTACGCGTCCCTACGCGTCCCCGGTCAAAACGACTTATTTTTATTAATATTAATAGGAAATCTTATTAAGCTTTATAAGATGAGTTAGAAAATGTTTTTTTTTAATTTAAAAAAAATACGGTAACTATATAAAATTTACAAAAATTTATTTTTTTAAAAAATAAACTACGCGTCCCTACGCGTCCCTACGCGTCCCCGGTCAAAATACAGTTTTTTTAAAAAAATCAAAACGGATTCATATTTAGCTCATTAAAAGAATACAGAATATGTAAATATTATATTTTAAACTATTTTATAACTTAGTGATTTTTTCAAAAAACACTTTTTTTTTCAAAAACACTACGCGTCCCCGGTCAAATAACCGTTTTTTTTAAAAAATAAAAGCAGATTCATGTTTAGCTTTTTAAGGAAATTCAGAAAATGGTATTAATAAAAAAAAAATTTTAAAAAAAATTTAAAAAAAAATTTTTTTTTGGCTAAACTACGCGTCCCTACGCGTCCCCGGTCAAAATACAGTTTTTTTTAAAAAATCAAAACAGATTCATATTTAGCTCATTAAAAGAATACAGAATATGTAAATATTATATTTTAAACTATTTAATAACTTAGTGATTTTTTGAAAAAACACTTTTTTTCGAAAACACTACGCGTCCCCGGTCAAAAAACTATTTTTTTTTAAAAATAAAAGCAGATTCATGTTTAGCTTTTTAAGGAGATTCAGAAAATGGTATTAATAAAAAAAATTAAAAAAAAAAAATTTTTTTTGGCTAAACTACGCATCCCTACGCGTCCCCGGTCAAAATACAGTTTTTTTAAAAAAATCAAAACGGATTCATATTTAGCTCATTAAAAGAATACAGAATATGTAAATATTATATTTTAAACTATTTTATAACTTAGTGATTTTTTCAAAAAACACTTTTTTTTTCAAAAACACTACGCGTCCCCGGTCAAAAAACCGTTTTTTTTTTAAAATAAAAGCAGATTCATGTTTAGCTTTTCAAGGAGATTCAGAATAATTTTGGTAGTTGAGAATTCAAATAAAATATTTAAAAAAGCCAATGTCTAGCCCATATTTAAAATTAAAAAATTTTCAAGGATATCTATTTTAAATTTTACCCAAGTTGATTTCTATCATAAATGTAAATTATGATATTTCTAATACCCTTACATTGCAACATTTTTACCTCTTTTTCTCCTAAATATTAATATTTTTATGAAATATATTAATAAAGCATATTTAGTATCGTATACACCTAACTAATTAGTAATTACCCATCAACCCCGTCATTCTGATTAAATTAAATTAATTTTATAAAAAAAAATTTTTAATATATATATATACAAATATATCAAATTATAAAATTGACGGGGGGGGCTCAATGGTTAGAACGTATGCCTTCCGAACGATAAGTTGCGAGTTCGAATCCCGTTTTGCCATAAAAAATTTAAAAAAATTTTTTTTAACATTAGCGAGATAATAATAGCTCTCGATTTATTTAACATTAAGATGATAGGAAAGTGGTTAATGTTGCTTGGTACCTTAAGGTACCATCTATCAAATTTGAATTTTGTTCATTTTTCATTTGGATAGGCACTACCAAACATATTTATAATATATATTTGAAAAATCGTAATTTTTGAGCTTGGTTTACTTATCCCATGCTCCCGGGTTCGAATCCCGGGAATGATCATGTTTTTTTTCTTATTCTAACTTGGTGGTTCCATCCTTGGGAGGATAATATATAGGAGGCCGGACTCGACCACGTGATTCCGTATTAATATATTAAATAATAAGGATCTTATTACATTTTAATAAATTTTGGTCGGTATTTAGCAAATTAGGTTGGTATTTAGAATATTTCCATACATTCACTTGGTAGTAAGCATCATTAACCTAGGAAAGTTGATAGAAAAAAAAAATTTTAACATTAGGAGATAGGAAAGTGAAATTAACGTTAAGAAGATATCAAAGTTGATAGAAAAAAAATTAACATTATTAAGATACGAAAACGTTCATTTCTTGATTACATTTATAGATAGATAGATATATATCATATTAAATCAATGTGTTAAAAAGCTAAAAAATCAAACAAAGTTGAGTGTTCTAAATCTGATTGATGAATTAGAAAATATTATAATTATAATTTATTTTTCATTTATGTTGTTCTTTCTAATCTTACATTAATAGTTAAAATTTATCATTTTATATGTTTTGTATATGGGAGACTGGGGTCCCCGGGCTTGGCAATCTCATTTCAAAATTAAATATCCTAATATAGTTTTTATTAGTTTACATCTATAGACAAAAAATCTTTTGAAATATTTTATTTAAGAAATAAAATTTTGATGAAATTTTCAAAAAATTTTTACATGACAAAACAACTTTGATATCTTCTTAACGTTAATTTCACTTTCCTATCTCCTAATGTTAAAATTTTTTTTTCTATCAACTTTCCTATCATCTTAATGTTAAATAAATCGAGAGCTATTATTATCTCGCTAATGTTTAAATTTTTTAAATTTTTTATGGCAAAAGGGGATTCGAACTCGCAACTTATCGTTCGGAAGGCATACGTTCTAACCATTGAGCCCCCCCCCGTCAATTTTATAATTTAATATATTTGTATATATATATATTAAAATTTTTTTTTATAAAATTAATTTAATTTAATCAGAATGACGGGGTTGATGGGTAATTACTAATTAGTTAGGTGTATACGATACTAAATATGCTTTATTAATATATTTCATAAAAATATTAATATTTAGGAGAAAAAGAGGTAAAAATGTTGCAATGTAAGGGTATTAGAAATATCATAATTTACATTTATGATAGAAATCAACTTGGGTAAAATTTAAAATAGATATCCTTGAAAATTTTTTAATTTTAAATATGGGCTAGACATTGGCTTTTTTAAATATTTTATTTGAATTCTCAACTACCAAAATTATTCTGAATCTCCTTGAAAAGCTAAACATGAATTTGCTTTTATTTTTAAAAAAAAACGGTTTTTTGACCGGGGACGCGTAGTGTTTTTGAAAAAAAAAAGTGTTTTTTGAAAAAAATCACTAAGTTATAAAATAGTTTAAAATATAATATTTACATATTCTGTATTCTTTTAATGAGCTAAATATGAATCTGTTTTGATTTTTTAAAAAAAACTGTATTTTGACCGGGGACGCGTAGAGACGCGTAATTTAGCCAAAAAAAAATTTTTTTAAATTTTTAAATTTTTTTTTATTAATACCATTTTCTGAATCTCCTTAAAAAGCTAAACATGAATCTGCTTTTATTTTTTAAAAAAAACGGTTTTTTGACCGGGGACGCATAGTGTTTTTGAAAAAAAAAGTGTTTTTTGAAAAAATCACTAAGTTATAAAATAGTTTAAAATATAATATTAACATATTCTGTATTCTTTTAATGAGCTAAATATGAATCTGTTTTGATTTTTTAAAAAAAACTGTATTTTGACCGGGGACGCGTAGGGACGCGTAGTTTAGCCAAAAAAAAAATTTTTTTTTATTAATACCATTTTCTGAATCTCCTTAAAAAGCTAAACATGAATCTGCTTTTATTTTTTAAAAAAAACGGTTTTTTGACCGGGGACGCGTACTGTTTTTGAAAAAAAAAGTGTTTTTTGAAAAAATCACTAAGTTATAAAATAGTTTAAAATATAATATTTACATATTCTGT